GGGTTTGGTAACGGCGGTGCCATCGGTCGGGCAGGGCGAACGGCGGAGGCCGCGGAGCGGGTGTGTTTAGATTTTTTTTTTTTGGAGGGACCTCCAGCGCCCCCGCCGTGCACCGCGATGTGCCCGCAGCCGCGAGCGCGGCCCCCGTTGTTCGTTCTCCCGCTAAACGGCGAAGCCGTTCGACGGGGATTCAACGGGGATTCAACTCTCGTTCAACGAGTTCAACGGGGATACAACGGCGGGGTCAATGATGAACACCTGTTTTTTTGGTCCACGCCGACGGGCCCACGGGCCCGAAGGCTATTGCGTGCGGTCCGTTGAACCCTTTCCAACGGGGACCCACCGCTTAATCATTCAACGCGGTTTCAACTCGGGTCTCAAGGCTGATCAACGGGTAGAACGGAGTTGAAAAAATCTCGTTGCCAGTTAAATGGACACACAGGGTAGTACGAAAGCTTAGTAGGGGAACACTTCGGTTCGTAATAACATTTCTCAATCGCACAGATGATAGTGCGTGATGCCCGCAACTACAAAACACGAGGGCTGATTTCAAGGTATCTTGTATGATAACTTCAAAAGAGGACCATTCTCAACTAGGAAATCCTTACAGACTTTTTTCGGACATCCGGGAGGTTGTGGGAGTACGTTGAACGTGGACTAAGGGTTTTTTTTGTATAAAAAAACTTGATGAAAGAGCTATTTTCAAGGCATGCGAATCGTGACCTATGAGCAAGGTGCTGGGGGGTTGGGCAGATTGTTGAAGAGGTGGTTTCGATGTTTGGTTAACCAGCCTGCATATTACAAAAGAACTATTTCGAGAAAGGAACTATGGAGGTGTTTGATTATAGAGGGTTGTCTTATGATAATTAAGGTTAAAGCGGCATCTACCAATCTCCAGCGGGGGTTATGGCCGCCGTATGAAATACCAGGATTTGTGTAAGACTCAGTAAGAGTGGTCCGTGTGTAGGAATATGAACTGTGGAGTACTTATATGGGGATATCGTGGTTCGCGGACATGCATTGGCAAAATCGTTATGATATGTTTCTGCAGTGTTTGCTTTCAAAGATATGTGTCATACTGTTTTGCTATAAGGACAAGAATACGTAGTGTGGTAGTATTTTATGGCGAGCTGGGAGGAGTGTGAGGGCGGGGAGGGTTGAAATTAGTAACAGGTCCAAGTGCATCATATTAAGGAAGAGGTGGGCAGTCAGTTGAGTTTGCGCATTCTTGTCAGTAGGGGAGTCAACCCCTGACTTAGCAACAGGATCTGAGATCCGGGTATGCGTGGGGGGGGGTTGTGTACGTAACAAGGTTATCCTACATAAAGCAGGAAACAAGATGCGACTCAAAAAAAAAACGCACATTAATCGTTTGTTAGCTAGCATAATAAGGCTAATAAGCTTTGAAGATTATGCAAAGCACTAAAGGACCATGTGTTCAAGGAATTAGTGGGTATATGAGTGAATTATATTAAGTAGGGAGCATTATGTTAGTTGTTAGCGTTAGTGGGTTATAGATTAGGAAAGGGCAACAACCCAGCCATAGGGGGGGTGCACGCCCTGAAGCGCGCTTTTCGCCGCTTAGCACCCATAGCAGCTCATCAGAGAGATTAGTCGTTAGCAAGGCTCCAATTAGCACAAAGGGTGGTAGGGAGTTGTAGTCAGGGGGTCGTGGGAATACACAACATGGGCGATTAGGGATAAGGGTACAGAGGATCCGTACCTGAGGTGTCATGTTTGGAGAAGCAGCATAGTCAGTCGATGCCGTAGCTGCCATAGTTGTCGAGCTTCGGAGTAGCGATGGATCAGGAGCTCCGTTGGTCGAAGCACAGATTGGCCGGCCGAAGAAGGTGCCTTGTGTGCCGCAGACAGACGGTTAGCTCGCCTGGTTGCGTAGTATGAGGGGGATGAGGAGAGGCATGTGGGAGAAGATGGTGATATGAGGAAGTTCTTCGCATGCGTAGCAAGTCTGAGTTGGAATGCTCCCTACCGCCGGTGTAGTCATAGGCAAGCTGCTATAGATAGTAATGCAGGCAGGCTTCATTATATCTTGTTATGTGAGGTTTGTAATGGGTATGGCGACGTTCGTGTGTATAGGATAGCTTAATCATTATTGTTTTTTTTTTTTTTTTTTTAATTAAAATATTAGATTGTCGGAAGGTGATATTCGTTCTGGTTTGGTAAAATAGGGCGTATTTGGTAGGTGTTAGGGGTCTGTGTAGGTGTACGGGTTATGCTTGTGCGTGATCGGTTGTTACAGTAGTACAATTTACGGGGTTTGGTCGTAGGTGGGGTGATTATAGTTTTGAACTTTAGTGGCATATTTGCTTCGCTTTGTAGTTCCCGCGTAATGTTATTGTCTTCTTCTTTCGCGCCGATCAACTTTAGAGTTTGGCGGTGGTCAGTATTTTGGATGGGTTGCAGTCTAATTAGCTGTTTAAAGAAAGTGACATATTTCTTTTGTCGAGGCTTTTTGTCCTGGTTTTCAGATGCCGATCTTCATGAGGATGCTTCACGAGGTTTTGTTTTTTTGTGTGTCTTTCTTTGCGGGGTGTTGCTTTGCCGTTTCATTTTTTGTTGTCGTATCTGTTTCTTTTTCTTAATTTTCATGTCTATGCATGTATTCGGGTTCTTATTATTATTCATGTCCCTTAGTTTTTCTTGAAAGAAATGTTTGTCTTATGTAGCGCCCTCGGTTGGGTGGTATTGTCTTCATCAGGGGTTTGTACTTGCGGGTGGTCGTATCGATGTACGAGTGGGGGTGTATGTGTAGGTCAGTGTTCACTGGTTTGCTGTGTATGTTTTTTTTAAGGGGTGTTTAATAAATTTGACGATGGGTCGTACTGGAGTGTTGTATTATTCTTCGGTTCTAATTGGTTTTTCTCAGTGTAAACCGCGCCGTGTTTTTCGTCCAGTATGTTGTTTTATTTGTAAGTGTACTTAGTGGTGTGTTATGCGTTATTCTTGGGGGCTTCTGAAATGTTTTTTGTGAGGTACAATTCGTAGCACAGTTGCTTCATTACTAGTCAGTCGACATCTATAATTTTTTTTTTTTTGTGGAGTATATTGACGTAATTGGTTTATAAGTATATAGTTCCGATAACCTTTTTGCTTTTCGAGAATTGAATATTTATATTCTTGATACATTGCTGCCTTGCTTAATCTATACTAGGCGGTTTTGCGAAAGAATATGTATTTTAATCCAATATTTATTTTTGCTTTAAGTTACCATATTCTTAACTTTAGTTTATTGTTTTTATTTATTTATATATTCTTATTCTAATTTTTTATTTTTTATTTTTAAAGTTTTTTTTTTTTTTGAG